AAAAAACTTTTTGCGGGTACAATTTATAAAAAAACCAAGCCTGAGTTTAACTTTGTCTTGTCGCAGAAACTTTGTGGAAATTATTAATTTTTATTTAATGATAAAAAAAGTGGTAAGAAATTTTTTATTAAAGCATAATATACATTATTTTTTCATGTAATTATTTTTTTTATAATTATTGTAATTTCTCATTATAAAAACTAAAATAATATTATGAGAGTATATTAACTTAAAATGTGTAAGATAAAGTCAACTCAGGTCAGGTTAATTTAATTTATTTAAGTTAATTAAAATAAAAATAATTAAAATTGAATAATAATTAATTGAGTCTAATTAGATTATTTAAGACCGTCAAACTAAATTAAATTAAGTTGGATTAGATAGTGATGAATTTGATAAAAAAAATTAAATAAAAACAGAGAATTGTTTTGATCATAGTAAGAAATTGTATAAGTAAAATTTTTTTTTATGTAATATCAAAATTATCATAAATTATTGTTTAAAATATAAACATTTTGGAGAGAAAATATAAAAGTTAACAATAAGAAATCGGCATTTGAAAAATTTAAAGTTATTATGTTTTAATTCAAAATAATAAATATTTCTATATAAGTTATTACACTCAACTAAATTTAAATAATTATTTCAAAATATTTTTAAATCAGCGTAAATTATGTGAACCAAATTTAAATAATTCTTTCAGTATTCTTAAATTATCGTAAATTATGTGAACCAAATAAAAACTTCTGAACAATTCTAATTTTTTTAATTAAATAATTGAATTACTATCATAAATTTATAAAATTATTTTTTTAAAACATCTCAATAATATATTTTATTATAAAATATTTCAGTCTATACAATAAAATAAAATTATTATATATCCATTTTTTATCCACATACCAGATAAACAAATACGACTTTGATATTTTTATTAAACAATGTTCATGATTCAAAGTTAAGAGAGATACAAATATATGGTTTTATTAAATCATTACATATATGGAAGGTTAAATGATTATATTAAATGTGTAGAAATAAAATAAAAAAAGATAAAATAACATAGCCCTTGACCATATAACAAGATTTGTTTGAAGCGCAAGGGAGAGTTTTATATAATTTATCTCCTTTTTGTTTAAATATCACTTATTTATTTATTTATTTATTTATTATAAATGTCAGTAGATATTAAATTAAAATATAATATAGTATGTGAATTTTTTTAATCTTGTTTAAACATATTCTTAATTGAAGAGATATATTAGGAAAATTTTTACACCAATATCTTATTTATTATTAATCAAGGGAGGATCTTGTATTTTGATTTATGAGTGAATTTGAAGGAATAAAAAATATATTTAAATTAAGATAAATGAGAAAAAGTTAAATATTTTTTGATAAATATAATTTATCATATCCTTCTCCATAGTTAATATGTATAAAAATACAATTAATTGTCTAATTTTAAAAACTTTTTACTACTTTTATTTGCACATGTGAGATGACCAAAATTTATTTTGATGTTATTATTCTCTTATCTTAAAATTGAAGAAATAATCGCATCTTAATTTCCCAAATTTTCCCAAATTGGAAACACACTATTATGGCTTGGTTGGATTCAACGATAGAAATACGCAAATGAGGAAAAAAGAAGAAGATAAAAGAGTCAAGATAATTATAGACAATAATTAAAATCAAATTATATAGTTTCTTCGTAAAAATAGAAAAAAAGTTATTAAAAGTTAAAAGAAAAATGAGTTATAATTGAAAAATTATTATTATAATTTTAATAACTTTTATTTATTTATTAATTATAATAACAATAATAATTATAAATAATATTAAATAAGAAATAATTTTATCTTATTTTTTATTTTTTTCTTAATCTAACATCTTTTTATTTTATTATCTACCATATTAAATAATATTTTTAAAATAATATTATTCACTGTATTGATAAATATAAGATTTAAAGATTTAATAGATAATCCGAGTCAATTAAATTTAATAAAATAATATTTTTATAATATATTAAATATATAATAAATTTATTAATAATAATATTTGTTATATAAAAAAATAATAATAAAAATTAGTGTTTAATTTTAAATATATATATTTTTATTAAAATTGACATAAAAATTCAGTTAATTTGATCGATTTTATCTTAATTTAATTAAAATTAAATTATTTAAAATTAATTGATCGATTTGTAATCTAATTTAACCGGTTTTTAACACTGTGTTATTGTTAAGTTAAATGTTTGATTTTGAAAGACCAAGATGTGGTATAATTGACATGACATCTGACATAATTAATTTGATTGTGAGGTGTGGAGAGGTGGTATGAATCTATGCAAAGATTTTTTGTTCCCTATTTTGTGTTTTGTCTTTAGCCTTCAGTTATTCATGTCTTCGTTCTCTTCTTCAATCCCTCCCTCACTTTATTTGTGTCTGGATATTATTTTCCATGTAATGCCAAAACGATCCATTGGGGTTGCCTTTGTCAAATATGATTGCATTAATTATATTCATCTAATTTAATTCTTTTTCTTTCCATCAAGTCATTTCAAAATAAATTCCCCTTAAAATAACTATTTTTTTATATATTAGAAGCTCTAAATTTATTTTTAAACACATAATTTTTCATACTTGTTCTCCTCAAACTTCTTTATGACCCAATTAATAATTCACAATTAGCGTTTTGTTTAAACCAATTCAATTAGTTCGAGTTTATATTTTTTAGAATTTAGATTAAATAATTTAATCACGGTATCTTCATTTTAAAAAACCTCCACATTTCATTTTTTCCCCACTAAGTTCAAGAACAGGTTATCTTAAGTGGTTACAAATAGACCTTTTAAAATCTATTTTATTAACTATTTTTGTTATTTTAGCTCTATTTGTGTAAAAATATAATCTTATATAAGAGTTTTTTTATAATTATTTTGATATATTTTTTATATGATAATATTATCTATTATCAAATAAAGTATGACCAAAGAGAATCAACATCCCTGTCGTGGAAGAAATAAAGATAATGGGTCAACTTGTTAAAAAAAAAGTCAAAAATGGGAAGAAAATTAAGAGATGATGAGAATTGAGACATTAGAATGCAGTATGGGGCCACCACTGTGCAACTTGCTCGATCCCACGTTTTAAAGTTGAATGAAAAAGAAACCTATGATTTTAAAACGGGATCATTGATTTGGTTAAGACACTTTCAATTATAGTAATAACATTATTTTAACAATTAAAAATTATATAAAGTAACATTTAAAATATAATATTATGATCATGACGACATAAAATATATATTATTAACATTTAAAATAAGTCTAAAAGTTTATGAAATATATTTAAAAAATTAAAATTAATAAAATTGTGTATAATATTATTATTATTATTTTCGATTAAAAGAAGTCACGTCGACATGTAACGTGGTTAGAGTGTGGGAAAAGAAAACTGAAATTTTGGAATAAAAAAAAAGTGTAAAATTAAGAAATAATAATTAATTTAAAACTAAAGACAATAATTGTAAGGAAGATAGTGACGTGTTAATGCATAGAAAATGGATCCAAACGACAGCTAAGCCGGCCGAATAGACATTATTGAAGCAGAAAACGCGGGAGATTTTAAAACTGGCTACCGTTTTGTCCTTGCAATTCTCATGGGTTGCCATGTTCAAATGGGAGCTGTCCTTCACCGGCTTTTACCGGTGCCCGCCACCACTGTCTTAAATTGGCTGTATTGCATTTATTATTGAGCCTGCACGTGACAGTCACATCTGCAGTTTGAATTTCTTCAAGGAAAAAAGTTTGTTAAATATACACTACCTTTTTAGTTATAATTTTGATATCTTTTAATCTATTTAACTATATGCGATTTGCTATTATTTTTTTATATCAAAATTTATAATTTTAGAATAAATTTTATTTTATTATACAATTTATTATTTGATTTAATTAAATCCTACACTTAATATATTTATTTTAAGTACCAATAAGCATACCAACCCCACTTAACAAAAGTTACTAAGAAAAAAATTAATTTGATATTGAAAGGAAATTTTATGGACCCAGGCCGACACTCGTATCTTTTAGATATTTGAATGGTAATTTAGTCTGAGAATATGTAAATTAAGAATTAGATTAAATTACAGACTTAATAGAACGATAATTCTGATGTGTGTAAAAATGGATCAGTCTAGGTTTTTTATACAAATTGGTTTGGTATAAAATCCTTGTTAACAGGTTCCTTGAATGTATATTCTAAACTTTCAACTAAATATAAAGGATAATTAACACTTATTCTCAATATTATAATGATTTTGGATGATCAGTTTTAGAAGATAAATTCCAAGATATTTTCAGGCAACAATTTTAACTTACTAATGGATTCCATCTACATTTTTAAGGTGAATCCTATTTTAAAAAAATATTTAAAAATTTAGAGTTTAGAATTTTGTATTTTTATTTTTATGTGTCAACCCTCCAACTCAGGGTTATCCATTAATAGAAATACTTTGTTCTATCATTTTACATCTCAATTCATGTGTAAAGCTGAAACCATTCTTTAAGTTTTGAGAGTTTATCCTTATTAAAAAAAAAAATCCCATGGATTCCCTATATGACTTATTTGCAACATACATACTTCCTCTTTGTCATTTCTGCTCAACAATCCATTTTAAAATTTCATTATTTTTATCTTAAAAAATTTACTAAAACAAACTTAAAAATGAGAATTGATTACTGAAAAAAAAAACAAAAAAGAGAGAGTTTAGATAAATACAAAAAGCAGGTAGGAAATATAAAATAGAAAATTGTCATTTCCCAAGAAATTAAAAAGATTAATTAAAAAAAGTTTAAAGAGCACAGGCGCAATGATATCGCAACAAGTCAATACTCAAAAGTTATAGTTTATAAATTAGCAAAATCAGAACTTTCAACCAGTTAAAAAACAAGATCAATCGGATAGAGGTTATGTCTTGTGCAAACCTCATTAATAGTTTTCCATAATTTTTCCGATGAGCTCCTTTGGTGCTGCAAATCCAAAATAGAAGAATCAAACAAATAAAAGGGTTTCAAAAATCAATTGGATCAATTAGGGTATGGACCAGGGAACTAGGATAAAAAATTATATGAAACTCATTTCATTAAAAATTTTACATTCAGCTTACCTGGCAATCCAGTGAATTTCTCACATTGCCCATATGCTTGCCCCTTAAACATCTCCAATCCTGATACTATAATGGCACCTGATTCTTCTGCTTCTTTCAAGAGTCTAGTAGTTTTGGGCGTGTAGATAGCATCAAAAACTAGGGAATAATATTTCAAAACATACTGCAAAAAAGAAGAAGGAATTATTATGCCTCTAGATTTCAATTTCAACTTATTTATGTTCCATATCATGATGAGATTTTATGCCTTTTGCTAGATAGGTCTTTTATCATTTATACATACATAGAAAAGGGGAGAGAAATTATCCATTTGCTTTCATCCTCTTTATTTATTTTCTTGTAATCTAATGGTTAAAGATGAAAATTAAGTCTTTTAATTTTAATTCGTGGAATAAGTAGATCCCTCCTATATATATATATATATATATATATATATATATATATATATCCTAGTGTGCATGTATATGTCAAACCAAAAGGCCAAAGTCATAGGACAAGACTTAAGAAGCATTTAGGAAAAGCTAATCATATTGATTCCCTACCAACTTTCCATCAAGTAGGAAGTATGCAATGGTGTAATATAACATAATTTTAGTGAGATCAAGTAATGAAATAAACATTTTCATACACCAAGAATCATATTTCCTCTTAATAGAAATCCAACTTCATTAGGTAATGGAAGTAGATATGACTAGCAAAACATCAAATTCAAAACATCCACCAAGAATATTTCAAAGTCCTAATTTGGTATGACGCATCCATATTAAAGGAGCAGACCTTAGGAACAGGCGTCTCATCAACTTTTGGTTGCATTCCAACTGATGTTGTATTTGCAAGAATCATACCATCCTCCGGATGGTAATTATCTAAATCAGCAAGGGATAAAGCATCTCCTCCAATTGTATCAGCAAGTTCTCTAGCACGGTCTATATATATATGAACAAAACAAATGATACATATATAATATGCCATTAAATATGATTAAAAAAGACAGGAGGAAACAATAATTATGATGGTTTCTGTTAGAAACGCTATACAATGATGAAATATGCTTATTAGAGGGACAAACAACAATATGACATACTAATAACTTTATTCTGCTTCGTAACTACTGTTTTGGAAGGTTGTCGTATATAAAACGAGAATTTAGGACCATAGAAGTTTTTTTGGGAAGTCAATTTCTTTTTTATATTCTAGTAACTAGTTGATACTCTTACTCTCTAACACACACATGCTATTATAAAAAACTTATATTTTAAGATATTGCACTCATGGAAGTCATAATGAATTGAACGAACAAATCTACTACCAAGAGTGGAATACAAAATATAGCAGAGAAAGAAATTACTACTTAGAAAATGAATAATATAAGGAAAAAGTACAGTAGTGTATACAAAAAGGTAAACGAGTGATGAAAATTGAAACAGGTTAGACATTAGCATTAACAAAATGCAAGTTTTCTTAAACTTGTAATCAAGATATCAAAAGAAATAAAACCCAAAACAAACGACCGACATGTTTCAAACCACTGTAATTGTACCCAAAAGCGCAAAACAATATATAACTTTAACTAAAATGACTTTTCATTTCTGAACAAGAAATGTCTGATGGAGGCATTTCTTATCCTTAACGCTGATATTAAGAAAATTGATCACATTATCAGTTAACTCCTACATGTGGTGCTTTGCCATCAACATATAAGAAGAAATTTTATCAATTCAACATGTTTCAAATTTAAGCAAGAGAAAACAAACCACGAAGCTTACCATAGGTACGGTTTGCAATTACAACCCTTGCTCCTTTCTCTTTTGCACCATAAGCAAGTGCCTTCCCAGCACCACCAGCCCCAATAACAACAAACAACTTACCAGCTAATGGTGAAACATTTGTTCTACTACCATTATATTTAACTGCCAGAAATAATTGAAGTCCACAACATTTTCAGAATAACAGTAACCAGCAACAATGATAGCAAAATTGATTAGCTACCAAAAATGACAACTACCTTGTAACCCATCCTCAATTGCAGAAATAGCACCAACATAATCCGTATTATACCCAATCAATTTCCCATCAGTTGGTCTTCTAATAACGCAATTCACAGCTCCTATAGACTGTTCTCATAACCAATTTGAAGAATTTAGAAGAAAAAAACGGAATCAAACAATTTCCAATCATCGATCCAAGATTGTATATTGTAATTGTACATTGTAATGCAAAGTACGTTACCTTAGCCACTGGATCAACTTCGTCACAACACTTAAGTGCCGCCTCCTTGTGAGGAATGGTAACACTGGAATACAAATACTAAAGATCAAATTCCAGTAGTTCTGTTAGAGGTTTACAAGATACTGAAAGAAGCAGAAAAAAAAAAATTGGAAGCATATATAGGGTTACTTGAGCATTCAAGCAAAGCTTGATGCATTACATGACATAAAGAAAAAAGTTCACAAATACTTGAACTGTCTTACTTGTATAACCCTAGGTCATATATACCTGGATTTGAAAGGACTACGATGCGTTTATATTTGTATGCTTCAACCAAACAAATAGCACTAATCACACAGATTGCACGTAAGTGTGTAAAACTGAATGGCATAAAAATGCAGTATACTGACGACATTCATTGTCCACCTAAAGGAAAAAGCCTCACAAATTCCAAACTTTTAATCAAATTAATCATTAAATGACTTTAATGCATAAAAAGAAATTACATCCTATTGGTTTTGTCAATAAATGCTTGAGCTGTTATAGTACTTTAACTAAACTTTTTATGTTCAGAAATATTTCTAAATATCCTCAACACTTGGAATAACAACATATCAATAATCCTAACCACAAAAGACCAAGCGGTAGACAGCTTATTTTTCATATTTAATAAACCCAGGAAAAATTTCTAGCAGGCAAAAAAGAACCTAGATGTTATAGTACTTGAGAGAAGCATCTAATATTAGATTGTATAAATTCAAAAATATCTTCAGAAGGAGTTGGAACCTGAATCCCACAAAATCAGTAGAGGAGTAAGCCCTGAGAAAATTGGCAATGTCATCCACCAATAAAAATAAATAAACACCATTATAACCAACTGACTTGAAGACTTCATTATATAACATGGGTGATTTACTGTGCCTGACAGGCTTTCCAATAATCCCATATACTTTTGTATCAGGTGCCACTTGTCTCAAATTGTATAGATACAATAAATCCTTAAGTGTAGGTTGTCCAGGAGCTGAAACTACTTCTGACTTTAGGGAACCAAAAGTGAGAAATCCACCAAATTTTGCACAAAGTATACGAGAAATCAACCCCCTATCACCCATAACAATTCCAATAATCGGAACCTGGAAATTAGAACAATAGTCATAGTAAACTGATTCATTATCATATTGAAAGACTCAATATAGTAATCATACATTTCAGTGTTAACAGTTAAAATAGAATTAAAACTGTTAAGTTATGAAATTTTGCCTTACTTGAATTTTGAATAAGTTTTAGATAATGTTTTGTTATGTTTGTTTTAGTTAGTTAATTTAAATTTCAAATAAATCTAATAGTAGGTTAGACATATCAGAGATTTCAAATTGATTGTAAGCTTCATAGACATATTCTCATTTCTGAATTTCAAGTATTATTTTCTTCCAATTTTAATCTGCTCATGTTCTCTGCAAGTTCCAATATCTCTATTATTTATTTTACACAAATATTTCCAACAGTATCAAAGATCTTGCTTCCTATGAGCTGAGGCAAATTTTTCATAAGAGCTAACCACTGACAGGCTTAGTGTAAACACTATCGAGTGATTTATTTTTCAAGAAGTTGGGATGAATATATGTCTACTTTCAACAATTCTTCACTTGTCATTCTAATGTTTAACAGTGAAAAATATTACATTTATGCCATCAAAGTATTTTTAAGATCTTAAGGTTGATGGGACGTTGTAATTTTTGAAGCTGATCCATTGTCATTGAGAGAATCCTACAATTATTCAAATAAGAGTTTATGATGAGGAGAGGCTGAAAAAGATAAAGTTATCATTTACTTGCATTTAGGACTTGCAAATCACATTTTTTTACCAAAATCATGGACTTGAAAACACCTAAGCAAGTGTCAGATAAAAGTCCTAGATGAATTTGGGGGCAGTAAGAAATCAAATGTTAGGCTTTTCACATAGAAATTTGAATTGATGAAGATGAAGGTAAACAAATCAGAAGGTTGTGAAAAAAATAATTGTTTCGGTGCTTGAAAAGTTTGAAACCAAGATATCTAAAATTAAAGAGTCTTGTAATTTGCAAACTCTACAATCATAGAGTTAACGAGCAAGCGTCATGCACAAGAATATTAAAGGATTTCATTGATAAGTGAAATTATGAAATTATTGAAAGTGCCTTTCAATTAAAACATAATGGAAGGTGTTCTAAAAACCCACAACCTTCCAACAACAAAGGGAAAGTTGAAGGTTCTAGAAAAGGAAAGTCCTTGCCTTGTTCTCATTGTGAAAGAACCAATTGGGCTAAAGAAGATTGTTGGTTTGGTACAAAGGTAAACCTCTTTTTCTCTAAAAATTGGGACATAAAAACTTACAATGAAAAGTATTGCAGATTGAAGAAAAAAAATTCTTAGCAACAACTAAAGCAACAAGCAAAAATAATTGAATGAGGCAACAATGATGAAAAGTGTTTATTTATGGCATCAGAAAAATTCACCAGGATTAAATACATGGCACATTGCCAATGGCTGCACTAGCCACATGACCAAACGTCTTCCAAATTTTTCCTCCATTGGTAAACCAATTCAACCAAAAGTTGGGAAATGGTTAAACGTTGCAAGCCAAAGGAAAAAGAATAATTTTTATATCAGCCAAGAAAGCTATGATATTGTTAGAAATGTCCAAAGGAAAGATATCTTATTGCACAAATGTAAAGAAATAGATATGAATTCTTTAAAAATTGATTCATTATTGATGAATAAGGAATAGAGATAACAGAGATTGAAATGACTAGAAACCAATTTTATTTGAAGTTGGATTTGGTTGAATAACAGAGATACAATTGTGAAGAGAATGACCAATGTAAGCTTGTTGTCTTATTATGATACGAAGGAGTGTATTTATACAAGGTAAAAAGGTAAAGCAATAGAAATTAAAGAGAAAGCCCTAACAGAAAAAATGGGCTAACAAACTATGCAACATAAAGCTCTTAACAAAAAGAAAAAGAAAAAAATGAAAATAAAAAATAAGCAGAGTAGTAGTTAAGAGCATTCCTAGCTTGAAACAGATAGTTTGGAACAGTGTGGGGGATAAACCTTTAGTGAAAACATCGGCAAGCTGAAGAGATGAGGATATGGGTAAGAGTTTTATCATACCATAATAATTTTCTCTTTCACAATGTGACAATCAATATCAATATGCTTAATCCGTTCATGGAATATTTGGTTAGAACCAATTTGTATGGATGATTGATTATCACAGTATAGCAATGCTAGACGAATGAAATGCACACGAAAATCTTGAAGTAAGTATGTGAGCCATTGAAGCTCGCAAGTAGTGGAAGCGAGGGTGTGATACTCGGCCTCTGAAGAACTCCTGGACACGGTAGATTGTTTCTTAGAGCGCCATGAAATTAGAGATGAACCAAGGTAGATTGAAAAACCAGTTATAGAGCGACAAGAGTCAATACATCCTGCCCAATCAGAGTCACTAAAAACCTTGAGTTGAAGAGAAGCATTTCCAGAAAAGAGTATTCTTGCACTAGGGTTACCCTTCAAATAACGAAGAATGCGGAATGCAGCTTGATAATGTACTTGAGTAGGAGAAGACATGAATTGACTTAAATGATGAACAACATATGTAATATGTGTGGGTTAAGTAAATGAGTCTGCCAAGCAAGCGACGATATATAGATGCATCCTGAAGAGGTTCCCCTTAAGTAGAATGAAGACGGGTACTGTATATTTGCGCTGACATATGAATATCGGTTGTCGTGCGAGCTACTTTAATCCCAAGAAAGAAACACAAATTACCAAGGTCTTTGATTTTAAAGGTAGAATAAAGATATGAAGTGATACGCTGGATTTCATCAATATCATCTCCAGCAAGAACAATATCATTAACATAAGTGAGGAGAGTAGTAACATGAGATGCAGCAAACTTAAAGAATAAAGAGTGATCAGAAGCAAAAGGATGATATCTATTAGTGAGCAAAAAGGAAGAAAGACATGCATATCACTAGCAACTGACCTATTTAAGACCATAAATGGAACGTTGCAGTTTACAAACTTGTCGAGGATTGGCAAGAGACAAACCAGGTGGTGGCTGCATGTAGACTTCTTCATGAAGATCACTGTGTAAAAATGCGTTGTTTACATCAAGTTGCTTAAGATGCCAATTATTGGTGGCAGCAAGAGCAAGAAGAAGTCGAACTGTCGTAAGCTTGGTAACGAGTGAAAAAATGTCAAGATAATCAATTCCTTCCGTTTGTGTGTAGCCCTTGGCTACCAAATGTGTTTTGTACCGTTCAATGGAACCATCAGCGTTGTGTTTGATCTTAAATATCCAATGACACTCAATAACAATTTTATGTGGGGGTAGATCAGTAAGAACCCAAGTCTCATGTGTTTGTAAAGCAGTAAGCTCAGCATGCATAGCTTTAACCCAACAATCAAACTTGGAAGCCTCGACATATGTCTTTGATTCAGTCACATAAGAAATAGACATGACATATTTATGAAAAGATGGTGATAAATGATGATAAGATAAGAGAGGAAACGTTCAAGAGGATAACAAACAATATCAATAGCTGGACGAGTTGATGTAAATGCACTGTGAAAATCTTTTAAATAAGTAGGAGGTTGACAAGTTCCGGTTGAACGGCGAAGGTCACAAGGAGGAGGAGGAACGAACATACCTAAAGATGGGTCATGAGCAAGAATAGGGTCAGGATGATCATGAAGGGGAAAAGATGTAGGATGCAGTAAGGAAGGAGAGTTGGAAGGAGAAGAAGAATGAACGGAAGGAAAATTATCTTCATAGAATATAACATGCCGGGAAACAGTTAGATGGTGAGAATGTAGGTTATAAAGTAAATAATCTTTGGTGCGGGATTTAAAGCCGAGAAATATGGATGGATGAGCTCGGGATCTAATTTCTTACGTTGAGCAATGAGTGTAATCGCATAACATAAACATCTGAAAATATGTAGATTAGTAATATCACAAGCATGTTTATAAAGTTTTTCAAAAGGTGAGACATTTTGTAAAAAATGAGTAGGAATGCAATTTATAAGATATGCAACATGTGATAAAGCAAAACACCAAAAACTTAAAGGGAGATTGAATTGAAAAAGTAATCCTCTTGAAATGTTTAGAAGATGTTGATGCTTTCGTTCAACAATTCCATTTTGTTGAGGAGTTTCAATGCATGTGGTTTGGTGTATAATTCCTTTTGAAGAAAAATAATCACTCATGAGAAATTCAACTCCATAATCTATTTGAATCATTTTCACAACTTTATTGAACTGTTTTTTCATTGAGTAATGAAATGAACAATATGGAAACGTGTTTCATTTTTAGATTGCATGAGAAAAATCCAAACGTAACGTGTATGATCATCGACAATTGTAAAGAAATTTTTGTGACCAAACATTGATGTAGTAGAACACGGACCCCAAATATCCATATGTAAAAGTTCAAAAGGTGTATTAGCATGTGAATGACTTAAAGGAAAAGATAATTTTCATTGTTTAGCATGATGACATGTATTGCAACTAAAAGTTGGATCACTACTTAACCAAGAATGTGTGTTTCATGTTAGTATGTGTGTATGGGAAGGGTGACCAAGACGAAAATGCCACAAGTCAACAGGGACTTTAGTACATTGGGGTTGAACAACGGCAATGTGAATAGAACTCTCAACCTCAGCAGGAAAAGTAATGGTGTATAATCCAACATTTACATCAACTGTACTAATCTTTTGTTTGTTGTTCGTGTCTTGTATAATGCAAGAATCATGTGAGAAAATCAAATCACAGTGAAGGGAAGATACAAGTTTTGATACTGAAATTAGATTGAATGTGAAAGTGGGGATATACAAAACATTTGTGACTATTGCCCCATGGGAAGTTTAAGGATGATAGGTTTAATAGCTAGAAAGGAAGAAAAATTTGTAAATGAAGATGAAACATGATCGATTGCTCCTGAATCTAAGATCCAAGGAGCTTTGGAATGAAATCGGACTTGAGGAAGAAATAGATCCGATCTGATTGACATGAGACGAAAACACAGATAAAGTGTCATTGTTTGGTTGTTGGATTAAATCCAACAATGCATGAAACTATTGTGGAGAAAAACAAAGATTTGGGTTCTCTAAAGCCTTACATTGATCATTCTTTGTGACCTCACCAGTTTCAGTCACAAAATTATTGATCGTATGTTTGGAATAAAAAAAATTGTATCCAGGAGGGAACCCATGTTTACAATAGAAAATATCAACTGTGTGTCCCTGACATCAGCAATGAGTACACACTTTTCCAATTTCAAAAAGTATTTGGTTTGTTCTTGCAGTTAGAAAAACTATGTTTGCGATAACAAATTGTATTTGTGTAACCAATGCGACCACAATGGGTGCAAGAGGCAACAATAGTAGCATTAATCAACGATTCTAATGGAGAATACAACAGGTATAGCTAATTGTCGTTCTTGTTGAACAACATAGGAGAATATTTTAGAAATTGAAGACGATGGGTCCATAAGCAATACATGAGAATGAACATGGCTATATTGCTCGTTTAATCCTCGTAAGAATTCCATGACTCTATCTTCAAGTTTTCTTTGAGCGAGGAGAGAAAACATTGCAAGAGCATTTAGGTGCACAAGTACATACCGGATATGATTTAAAGTTCTCCATTTCATCCCATACAATTCTGAGTTTAGTGAAAAAGTAGATGATAGAAAGGTCACCTTGCTTCATAGAAGAGGCACGATATTGCAATTTTGACACCCGTAACAGATCTCCTTGTGCGTACCATGGTTTTAGGTCTGTCCATATATCTTCCACATCGTCCATTCAAAGGACGCTGTGACGAATCGGGATGGAAATAGAATGGACAATCCACGAAACTACCATTTTATTGCATTTTCTCCAAGCATGATGTAAAGGATCTGAAACTGGTGGTTGTTGCGTTGTTCTGTCGACAAACTCAACTTTATTCTTCGCACTAAGAGCTGTCAACATAGACTGACTCCATGAATCATAATTACTGGAATCGATAGTTGTGCAGACTAGGTGTTTGATTATCACTCATGATTGCGAATGAAGAAGAAAAGAGATTTGCGGAAGGGCTCTGTTACCATAATAGAGGTACAATCGAAGAGAAAGGGTTAAGAGAATGACCAATGTAAGCTTGTTGTCTTATTATGATACGAAGGAGTGTATTTATACAAGGTAAAGGTAAAGCAACAAAAAAGAAAGAGAAAGCCCTAACAGAAAAAATGAGCTAACAAACTATGTAACATAAAGCTTTTAACAGAAAGAAAAAGAAAAAGAAAATAAATGAAAATAAAAAATAATCAGAGTAGTAGTTAAGATTGAAGATAACGATTCTATTGCCAAAATTGATGAGCAGGATGTTTAGCATGATGTATTGGTGTTCACACAAACTTGAAACCATTTATGTTCACACAAGATGAATTTGAGATGACAAATATTAGTATATGGTGTTTAAAGTCATATATATATATATATATATATATATATATATATATATATATATATATATATATATATATATATATATATATATATATATATTATCATTTATGAATTTTATTGATTCTTTTCTTGCATTTAATTATCCCAATTTCACTGCAAGTTCCAATATTTCTACATTTTTAATTTATAAAATATTTCTAACAACGACCAAAAATTATTTCTCAAAGGAGCATGTGACTTAACTAAAAAAGTTGTAATTACTAAATTATGATACATTCATACAGTCCAAGTGTATTGCATAGGTTTATGCAAAGGCAGAGTGCTTCAGGAATTCTTTCTACTACCATCAATACATAGCTTTGAATGGTTAGAAAAAGGTTTCATCAAATTTACATTGGTTGTAATTGCATTGGTTCTTATCTCCTCTTATAGGTATGTTATAACATATTTGACCTCTCTTTCTCAGTTGAATTTCCCATCAATTAACCATACAATAATTAAACTTACTAATGTATAGGTTAATAGTTCATAAAAAGTTAAATAAAAAATGCATATGGGTTTAAAATGTTCAAATTTCCATTTCTAGTGCCTTACTTGAGAATGCACCATTATTTGAAACATTCGTGGTACATCAGTGATGTCAGTGGCAGTTGTTGCAATCTTCACAATGTCTGCTCCCGTTGCTTGTATTCTTGCTACAAGGTTACCAAGATCCTCAATTGAAGGAGTAAGCTGATAGTTGTGAGATGAAACAATGACCTTGGTTTTATCGAATGTTTTCCCACGTATAGAGTCATAGAATTGATGCGCTACCTTTAGAGATATGACAAGTTTCATTGTTCAGACATTATAGAGCAAATCATACGAAGACAATATCTGGCTTTCATCATGTGGAGGGATATTTTAAATGCAGGAGAAAACAAATTATTTTCCTTCAGGTCCACTATCTGATATTTCCAGACACTACTTTGATTATCCATGTATAAGAAAAACTTCAAGCAATTAAAATCTGCAGTTGAGTTTGCTCAATGTCAGATGCTACGTTTCCATGAGAATCATGCAAAGACTTTTGTTTAACCATAAAACAAGAGAAAAATCAAATGGCATCTTTGGGATTATGAGATATATTTTCTTCAGCATAATGCATGGAAACTAGTAAGCTAAGAGTGTATCACATAAGAACATTGATATAGTAGTATACAACAAACTACACATTACGCAATTACAAGTACACTGTAGTCATTTAAATTTCACAAGGATTATCAGACAAATCATGTGTAATAGCATTATCATAAGAACGAAACCTACCCAAGGATTTGTTCAGTTCTAGAAAATTCCTTCAATATGTTCCAATATTACATTTTGGTTGATATATATTGTCAAGTTTTTACAGTACAATAAAGCTGTCAGTGGATTTATATAGACCAAGGGAACACAACCTGAAGTTCAACGTCAATGTAATCAGCTCCCAACTCCATGGCTAATCTTAGTGCATCCAACCGTTTGTTTTCATCACCATCATACATTCCACCTTCCCACTTGGGCCTTAAAAAAGATATTAAATTTTATCATTCACAATGCTCAAATCTTCCAATTAAATCACACCATAGCCAATGGTCAACAAATTCAAATTAAGCACACCACAATAGAAGTGAACGGCAATAGCAGCAAAGAGAGGCCACACATTATAGCCACCTAGAATATAGCCATTTTCATCAAGCTATTTTAATATATATGATTTGAATTTTTTTTCACTTTTATATTTAATGTGGAGGAATTTCTTAGGTCAAAGAATATTTAACAATGCCAAAGTATATTGCTCTCAATTAAAGTTTCAAGAATTTTTTAAAACTTCAGTTGCAGTAGTACAACAGTACCAACAATAGCTATAAAGAACCAACAGCACCTACGTAAGTGCAAAAACTAACAGTTATTATACTTGTTGACGGATACGATTGTGACTCGGGTCATCTCCGACTCACTCCGCTACAGGCCAACCGCATAGTCCAAAAGAAGTTGTTAAACTACAATTGGTGTTATCATTTGCTGCAGTTTGGCCGCCGAAAGCGCCGATTGACGACTAGTAGCAACAAATTGAAGAAAAAATAGAGAGGAATTGCAAACCTGTAAGTGAACAACAAAGGCAAAGCGCGATGTTGAATGAGAGTGGTGAGATCTTGATGGGGATCAAAGGTGCTCAAAAAGTCCAGTCGAATTTCAACAAGGTCAGCACCTTCAGCCTTGGCTTTCTGCACGTCAATCTTCATTTTCTCAAGTGATTCCCTCATTATTGGGACGCAAATTAGGGTTGCATTCTTCGTACCGGCAGATGGAGCAGTGAACTGAAGAAGAACAAACAGGTATAAAAATTGAGAGTGAAAGAAGTGTTGGTTGAAAGAGAAACAGAAATGAAAATGAAAGAGGGTTAACATACCAGAACGTTGGGAGAGTCCATTGCAGAAGTTGAGACGAGGATCGGTGTTGGAAAGGTTGGTGGTGCTGTAGATGAGAAGATAAAAAGGAAGGGATGTGAGAGTAGTTGAAGGCGTTTTTGGTTGGTAGGAAGCAGTGATGGTTGGTAGCACGCTACATTGAACGCTAATAAGCAATTCAAATAAATAATATATTTGAAATTAAAAAAATTAAAATAATAAATCATTTGCTTGGTTTAGCCTTTCTACTTTGTGCTTAACCTGATCATGCAGGTAAATCTCTCCTTCAATTTTGATTTAAATGTTGATTGTGTGGTTCATCCTCAATTTATACCAGTTTGTTTGTACCTACAATTTTGGACGTGGCCATATTCTATCAACAATACGATTTTGGGCATGATTTCAATAAAACATATGTTTGAGGTGACCTGAACTTGTTCATCTTCTACCATAAGCTTATCAGAACTTAGACAAATTATCATGTACTTTGATGTATATGTTTGGTTGAGTTATATATCATTATCCTTCGATATTTTTAAGGTAAAACATGCATGTTCCAAGGATTTTTGTAGCATTTACAAAATGTGGTTGCAAGTATTGATTGAGGTTTTGTTTATTATTATGAATTTTCACGTTCGCATATCTAATCATCCTCCTCTCCTCGTTGTATTTGTTTTGAAATATTATTTAAGCGATGAAAGAATAAGTGAGTTTTGTATTTTTTTTTTCAATTATGCGAGTAGATTTGAAAACACGAAATTGAGGAACAAAGTGTATATAAGATCTTTAATAAGATCAAAACAGAAAATCAACCTATCATATATATATATATATATATATATATATATATATATATATATATATATATATATATTTTATAGTGGTCCATCTTAATTGATTTTGGGGTCAAATAATATATTATTAATAAATAATAAATAAATATAAAAAGAAAAAAGAATATAAAAGGTTGAAAAGATAAAATATATATATATATATATATATATATATATATATATACTTAAATATATTAAATGATCATTAAGTTTGAAGGAAACAAAATCATAAATTACATGAGAGTTACAAAGCTGAGGAGGAAGCTAGGAGGATAAAATTGTAAATATACAAGTAAATATATTAAATGTTCATTATGTTCGGGGGTCAAAATCATAAATTACATGGGAGTTACAAAACTTTGGGGGGCCACAGGCCCCTCAGCTCTCAAGAAGATCCGCCACTATATATATATATACCTCTTCGTTATTATATAAATTTTCATTGTTTCACTCATATATTCCCTGTATATATTCTTAGTCGGGCACTAAATGCACAATGAAAATTCGTTACTTTGTTGATCATAAAAGTAATTAAAGTTTTGAATACGCCCTTTAAAAACATGTGAATGGAATGATTAGGTTGTGTGTTTAAGTTGTACTTCCTCTGACTTATTTGAAGAGAAGTGGTGATTCGTTTATGAAGTTGGATGTTGGGGTAGTTGATTTGTACGTGTCTATGTAGTTGTTGTTCTTCTTGGATGCCATCAGATGTGTCTTTGTGTTAGAGAATCAATTATTTAACACAAATAATCAATTCTCGTCCACATTTATCGAAGGAGAATCAATTCTCTATGATCATTGGAGAATCGATTTTCCATTTATTCAAAGTCGATTCTCGACCATGTTTATTAAAGAAGAATAGATTCTTAGTGACTACTACTAAATGGAGAATTAATTCTCTCTTTATCCATAATTGATTCTTGATCACGTTTATTGAAGGAGAATTGATTCTCCTATTTGTGTATTGTGTTTTGGTTTTGTTTGTAAATTTGATGTGTGTTGTGCTGTAGGTTGTGCATTCTTGTGAGGGTCGAGTCATGGTGTTGTCTTTGGTTATTGTTGTTGGTGCTCATTTGTGACCTATGTAGCCTTGGTGCAATGGTTTTTCATGCTAGTTTGTTGTTCTCCTTAATAGTCTATGTGTGTTGATTGTCCTTGGTCATGGTGGTCCTTCATGGTGTGATGTTGGTGGTGTTGTTAGTGTTGTCCTTGATGGTTCGTGATGGTGGTGTTTCTTGATTGGTGACCTGGTTGTCTGGTCATTATGATTAGTGTGGTGGTTGTTCATGTGATTTGTTTTTGTCCTTTATAGTATGATGTTATTGGTTCTTATTGGTGGTGGTGTTAGTCGTTGGTGTTATACTACTCATGGTGTTTCTCCTTTATTTTGTATAAATTTTCTAAGAGATAAGTAAAAATAATATAATTCTTTGATTAAATATCCATCTATCAAGTTAGTTTAATTATTTAATTTAAATTTCAATATTAGGTTTATTCAGAATTTTATTATTTTTTGTGAATAATTATTGAAATTATGGTTTTAAATATACAATTAGTTATTTTGTGAAATTATAATTTGATGTAGTTAAAAAAATATAATTTGTTATGTTTAAATATATCAACCATTTATATTAATATTTTTATGATTGTATAAAATTACCATTTAATATAAAAATATTGTTTATAATTATAACATTAAATATTTTATGTTTATCAAAAATATATTTTAAAAATATATAACATTATTTTATGAAATTTAATAATAATTTAATATTTAAATATATAATAAAATTAAATTTAAATTTAATTATAACATTAAATTTTGTATGAAATTATCATTTATCAATTTTTTAAAAAACTTAGTATAAAATGTAGTGTAATATTATTTTACGAAATTATTATTAGTTTAATATAAAAATTATTGTAATAAAAATGAAATTTAAGTGTGTTTATATATATTAAAGTTTTTTATAAAATTATCATTTATCATAAATATATATTAAAAAAATTTAGTATAAACTGTACTATAAAATTATGTTATAACATTTTATTAATTTAATATAAAAATATTGTAATGAAAATAAATTTAAGTGTAATTATAATATATTAAATTTTTAATGAAAGTATCATTGATTATGAAAAATACTTAAAAAATTTAATATAAATATAATGTATAATAATATTTTATGAAATAAGAATTAATTATATATAAATGAATGAAAAATAAAGAAAAATTGTAATTAGAATATAATTATGTAATAAAAAATAACAATATAAATATATTATAATTATAAATGAAATAAAATTGTAATATAATATGGTTGTGTTATATTAGTATTTCATATAAAGATGAAATTTTGTTTGTGTTAAATTCTTATATTTTATATATTAAGAGTCTAGTTTTGAAATGGCATGACACATAAAAATAAAAATGATTAGGTATTGTATTTTATCGACAAAGATCTCAATAGTTGTATTATATCTATATTGTAAGAAGAGAAGTCTTACATCAGACAATTTGTACTTTGGTACTTATTTTTTTGTTATAAAATGAACACAATATTTATCTTGTAAAAGACACAAAAATTACTCATTTTTCTTTCTCTTGCTGCTTTAGTGCTTGAAAGATAAATTAAGAGAGAAAAATAGTTTCTCCTTTTAAGGTTCTCTTAAAGTTGTTTTTTTTTTCAAGAGATGATATTATTGTTTCCTCTTTGAAGATAGAGAGAAAATTGTTATAATTTCTTTTATTAGTGAAATTATCCTTTTGTCTATTATCGATATTTTTTTCATCTTTTTATTTTAGTTGTGTGTGCTTATGTTTTTGTTTGATACCTAACAGTGGTATCAGAACCGATTATTGATTTCTTATTTATGATTTTATTTCGCGGCTATAATCATTATAGTAATATTGGAGAAAATTCTTAGTATGCTCTGTAGTTGAGGTTAATCTGATCTTCCACATTAGAAAAGAATTATTTTAGTTACTGGATATAAAGTGTAGTAGTGTGACAGTGAATGTCTTCTAGTTATTGGATATAAAGTGTAGTAGTGTGATAGTGAATGTCTTCTAACTACTGGATATAAAATGTAGTAGTGTGACAGTGAATGTCTAGGAAAATTTATAGCAAGGAAAAACTTGATATTTAAGTGTGTCCATTAGTGACTCACCTCTCTTTCTTGGGAGTTTACCTAGTGTACAGTTACGGTTTACGTTATGATTCCAGTAGGTAATACTATTCATAGTGAAAGATGCATAAGCCAGTTAAAATCATGATAACAAAATATGAGATAGAGAAGTTTAATGGTAATAGTTTCTCGTTGTGAAAACTAAAGATGAAGACAATTTTAAGAAAAGATAATTGTGTAGAAGCAACTAGAGAAAGACCACAGGCATCACAGATCGAACGTGGAAGAAATTAATAACAATGCTATAACAAATTTATGAAGAAGGTACAACGAATGAGATTTGGTTTATTATAATGTGTTGGAATCGCCGGTATTATCCTTAGGAATGGCCAAATATTTTGTGTCAATGATGACAATCATTACTCTAAGAGATTATGAGTGTATCACATCAAGAGGAAATCTATATTTTCAAAGTTCAGGAAAGACAAATTATTGGACTATGTTAACAATATGAAAGGGTATTTCCTGTGGATCCCACTATCCACAAGGTTATTGTTAGCGGTGATACAAATATTATTTTTCTTCAAAGTGAACTTAGAGAAAGGATTGATGTTCTCCAACCTGAATACTTATGAATATTATGATTTGTACAAGATTAAACATTTACACAAGCAGTGAGAATAGTTAGTAGATTCATGGAAAATCCTGGTGGAGACCATTGAAGTGCTATAAACAAGATTCTTAGATACATCAAATGAACCTCAGGTGTTGCATTATGTTATGAAAGATAAAAAATAGTTATCAGATGCTATGTTAATTCAAAATTTGCAGGTGATCTGGATAAAATGATATCTACTACTGGTTATGTATTTATAGTTCTAGGAGGGACAATAAGTGGGTTATCTAAGTTATACGATTTTCTAGCTCTGTCTACCACAAAAGTTGAGTACATGACAGTCACCTAGGCATGTAAGGAAGCGATTTGGATTAAGAAAATGGAAGAACTCGGGCACAAATAATCATAATTTGTTGTGTATTGTAACAGTTAAAGTGTCTTGTACATTGCAAGAAATTCATTATTTCATTTCATGACAAAGCACATAGGAACAAGATATCATTTTTTCAAAAAGTAGTGGAAGAAGGAAGTTTGGATATGCAAAAAATTTACACGGATGAGAACCAAACAGATATTATGACAAAGTCAGTTAGTGTTGATAGGTTTGTATGGAGTCGATCCTACTGTGGCCTATCAGAAAAATAAGCAATATGGATAACAAAAATAAAACATGCAGTATGTGAATATTTGATTAATTTAATCATAATCTTTAAATGGGAGATTGTAAGAAGAGAAGTCTCACGTCAAACAAATCTTACTTTGGTGCTTACTTTTTTTACTGTAAAATGAACATAATGTTTACCTTGTAAAACACATAAAAATCACTTCTCTTTTCTTTCTCCTGCCTAACTGCTTGAGATATAAATTAAGAGAGAAAAATAGTTTCTCCTTTAAGATTATCTTAGAGTTATTTTTCTTTTATTTTCAAAAGAGAGTATTATTGTTTTCTCCTTGAAAATAGAGAGTATGATTGTAATTTCTTTCATTAGTAGAATTACCCTTTTGCTTATTATCGGTGTTTTTCTTATCTTTTTATTTTTGTTGTGTGTACTTATATTTTTGTCTCATACCTAATTCATATGACGACCAAAACCTAATAGCCACATGTATTGTGTTTATTCGATCGTCAAACCCTAACAAACACACGCAACTAGGCTTCCTCACTAGGGTGACAGTTAAAGACACCTAAATTACATTTGTAACCAATTGTTTGAAGTCGCATAACAAATCACAGAATATATCATAAAAGATTGGTCATGTAGAAGACACTCAGTCTTACAAGAATAATAGTGTTATTGTTGGTAATGACTTTAACTTAATTCAATATTTACAATAACAAATAAAATTATATATAAAAATAGTAAAACTATTTTGGAGTTTATTCCATAAAAAAAACACCAATGTCATGAGTTGGTATGATCCTTAGTGCACATAAATCAATGTTGTATCATTATTTGAATGAGACAACAAATATTTATTATGTTGTACCAACAATTAAGGACAGTTAAGATGACAAAAAATATATTTTGATTAATAATTGAGGAATAAATTACTAAATTTTTTTACATTAATAAAATCTTAAAAAAAATCATTGTTGAATATTTTTATAATGTCTTAAATGAAATTTTGATATTAAAAACTACAGTCTTAATTTAACTATCTGGATGAAATTCAACCTCATGTCGTATAGACAGTCTCAGTTTCTTGCAGAAGATAGTTTTTTTTTTTCTCTTTCCTTTCTTTCAAATAAAAGTAAATGGCATATTTATTAAAAAGTGATTCTGGATTTTATTTTATTTTTAAGAAAATTTCGTGTAATAAGACGAATTGTTATGTAATTTAAAACCAATGTCTGTTTAATATAAAAAGGTCCTTGAAAAATTATTAAAAAAATTATGTAAGAAATTATTTTCCTAATTATTATAAACAAAAAACATCATTGATTAAGCGAATAAAAAGAAGAAGCGTAAATGACTTCAGATTTATTAAATAATAAAAGTTTGTAACAAAAACTTTATTTTGGAATTTTGGGCCATGGCCCATGAGGGATCAGTTTGTTAAAACAAGGCTATTGCTATTGCTGTGCGTTTTTAGGTAATTTTGGAAAAATAAGACAAAATTGTGTGTATTTATAAATAGAGGGAGTGCAAATAGTATGAGCCGTAAACCATAATTCTTCGAGATGGGCTGGGCTGTGCAAAACGGTGAAAGACAAGTCGAAAGCATATTGTAGAAGCCCAAATGATCAAACCTACTGGTTTGAAGAACTTGAAAGAAAGATAAAATGATTTTTTTTTCATTTAAAATGTATATTTGTTTACATTTAAAATGAATATTTTAAACGTAATTTAGAATAAACATAATATTAATAAATAAATAATCTCTCAAATAATTTTTTAACAAAACATTTATATATTATCATTCAAATATAATTTAGTATTTCCATATATGGATTAAATTGTATTTTTTCATAATATAAAAAGACTAAATTTTTAAAGATTTTAATATATTTTATTTAAATTTTATGATTAAAATAATATTTTTAAGACTAAATTGATTATCTTATCTTAAATAAATATTAAACTAGGAAGTTGATAAATCAACACATACTTAATTTATAAAAATATATTAAAATAAGTGTAAAAATAAAATTCTTTCCCAATTTTTTAAAGGTTTATCGTATGTTTAATGAATTTTTTAAGGATTGATCATTAGTTAATCATATCATAATTTATGGTTCTAAATTTTAAATTTATGTCAAAAAAATAACTTATTTTATTCTAATTTAATTTTAAAATTAAATCATAAAAAAAACAAATTAAAAATTGAGATGTTATTAGCATAAATATTTTTGTAACGGTAACTAAATACAAGCTTGAAAATGTCTCTTAATCCAATTATTAACGGTGATACATTATACATAAAAATTTCTGGCTGTTTGACTTGCGGAAACCTAAGGAAGCAGAGATAATTTATTTTTCAATTAAAATGACATATTTATTATAGAACAACGATCAATAAATTCAAATATATAAAATGAAAGAAAAACAAAATAAGAGATATACCTATATATTAACTAACCCGGTAAAATAGTCGCGTAATTTTAGAAAAAAAAAATCTCCTCAGAGAGAGGATCATAATCTCACGTTACATGCACCAAAGCCAATGAAAAAACCCCAGCCAGAATTTTGGAAGGAAAATTGAAATTGGAAATGTGGAATTTTTTAGAAGAGAAAGAAGAAGGATGAGAAATCTCTGTCTTTGCAGGCCACAGGTACGTCTCATAATTAAAGCACTAGAGTAGGAGTCAAGGGTTTTATGGACCCATTACACCTTTCATTGAGAAAAACAGTACAACTAAAAGAGTTATCATTTGGTTCTTACCTATGATTATGAATGCCATTTCCAAATTTTCCATTTCAACCATTTCTTCACCAATGTTTCCCTATTTTAAGACCCACTTAATATTTCTAGGTTAATTCATACATATTTATTCTAGTTTAACTAGTAGTTCAAGTTTTAGTACAAAGTATACATCTGTATTAAATATTTGAAGAGCAATTTCCTTTCATAGTGGTATAATGAAAAATTGTTAATAATATACTCTCTCGTTAATTCAAATTTAGTAAGAATCATAAAACTTGATGGGTTATCTTAAAAATAAGGTATTTGTTAACTAGTAATTTTGAGCATCAAAATTGAATAGGAAATTTACTAGAGTGACAAAATAATAAAAATGATTAAAGTAATCATTTTTCACGGCTTTTCAAACTATAATTCTATAATGTTATTTGCAACGTTTATTTGTAAATAAAATGATATAAAATAAGTTTGCTAAATTTTTATTTAATAATGTTTATTAATACTCTTTGGTAAACATACTTATAATGAAGGGTCAAATAATAAAAAGTTGCGATACTTTCATTTCTGAATATTTATTAGTCACTTAAGATTTAATGTTTATTATTACGTAAGATTTTACGGTTAAATTCGTACTCGTCATTTTCATATCACAAAAAATCTTCTCATTTAATAGGTTAATGATTTATCATAATAAACGACCCAAAAGATTAGGCTTAATGAATTGTTTGACTACAAAACTATGGTACCCTCAATCTCAATCTGCATATTATTGAGAGTGTCATACAAAAAACATAGTATAAAAAAATGAATTTTTCTTTTGAAAAAAAAAGAGAGAGAAAATAATTTTATTATAATATTTTTGAATTTATTTGTTGTTATATATTTATTATTAATAATATTAGTTTATTTCTTTATAATGATTATGAAACCTCCCAGTATAATCAATTATATCATGGTGTATTTGGTTTGATATTAAATGTCTTAAATTTAGATTTCAAATAATAATAAAAAAAAGTACAAACTAGTTACATAATGTGAATCGTACATATTTACATTTAACTTCATTCGAAGTAGAATCAAAGATGGATATAATATAATCAGATATTGCATTGTTTTTTTCTAACATTTTTTGTTCTTCTCATTTCACACCTACTAAACCACTTTCTCTCTCCATTTTCTGTCTTTTTCTTTCCTCTGTGGCTCCTCTTCTTCTGCTAATCTCAACATTTGGTACAGAGTTAGAGACATGTTTGTGTGGGCCAAGGACAAAACAAAACCATCCTTATCAAGAAAATATGTTACCCATCATAAACAAACATTGCTTGAAAACCAAGACCAAAAATATTTCTTATGCATGAAAATCACCTTTCAACAACAACCACCTTAGACACTATCTTCTCTTTATATACCCCTACTTTTATGGTTAATTTCCATTTCCAACCAACTCCAACATTAAATTCTCTCTTCTGCACTATGTCTAAAACGAATGTGCGAAGACATGCTCTGGAGAAGTGCAGGAGTGTGAAGGAGACACAGAAAAACCAGAACTTCTTCACCAGAAACCTCAAGAAAGTGTACCCCATTGGGCTTCAGAAAAGCTCTTCATCTTTGTCTTTGTCTTCCATATCCTTGTCTTTGTCACAAAACTCAAATGACTCTTCCCAAGCTGATTCTTTGAGTCCACTGGATGAGAAGATTTCGCTGGCATTGCGTCTGATTTCACCACGGGATAGAAGAGAACCTACAATAGCTTCTAAACCTCTTCAACAACACCAACCACCAACTTCACCACCCACCACTGAGCCTGAGGAGTTGAAAAGATGTAACTGGATCACGAAGAACAGTGGTATCATCACTTTCCTTTCCAATTTACTTTGGATATACACGCAAGTGTTTTTTAGAACTTTTAAGAGTTTTTTCTATTAAAAAAAATATTTTGATTTTGTATCCAAATAAACACTTGAACTCTGTACAACAGTTTTGGTTTATTCTATGTTATTTTAATAGGCTGATTTTACAGCTTATTTGATAGGTTCAATTCATTTATTCTCTTTCTTCCTTTTAAGTGATTATAAGAAAAAATTACAAGAAGAAACCTTACAATAAAATGTCATCATAAACACATGTTTTTTTCACAGCTTGATCGTGTTATTTGACTAAAATTTTAGGAAAATGTTAAGTTGACATCTTCACCGATCAAATATTCATTAAACAACCCGGTTTTAATAATATAATATTGGTAAAACTTTTTAAATTTATATATTTATTATTATTATTATTATTATTATTATTATTATTATTATTATAAATTATAGATCTGATGTATAAAATGAATAATAGGGTCAAAATATCATCACCCAAAATGAATGTTAAACCATTTTGTTTGGAATTGGTTGATGCATAAAAATAAAACAAATCTTGAAAGCAACCTTTCTACCTGAAGCTCTATTTTATAACAAAGATCTTGGGTAGAATACGTTGTTTTCACTTCAATATCGGTACCTCATAGCTCAAATGTAAAATCATGCCTATAAATTTGGATATATTGTGTTGCTTAACATAATTGCTGTCAGAGGTGCTGATAAAATTTCAGCACTTTAATTAACACAGCACAAGATTTTTATTTCAGTTGAGTAGTTGAAGTGTTAAATACCAACTTAGTCCATATAATAAATGTAGCAAAATATCATTTGGTACTCGTTGAAACTAATTATCATGTTGTATATCGACAATAAATATAACAATAATGACAAAGTTGTACCAGATGTCTTAATATTCTAGTTCTCTTCAGTTTGTGAATTATTTGTCTCCACATTTTGTAGGTTCTACTTCCATCTTGTTAATTGTATATAAAAGTAATAGTATAAAATTTGCAATCATACGAGCTTAGTTGTCTGAATAGTATATAAACTGATCTAATGTTCTTGTTATATTGCAGATAATGCCTACATAGAATTTCATGATGAGTGCTGGGGTGTTCCAGCCTATGATGACAAGTAAGTTCTAAGAACTAAGAAGTACTCCCTTCATTTCTATTCCTGAGATTTTTACGATTTTATTTGGTTTCTGGTGAGAATTATTGTGATTGGGTAAACCATGAAACAGCAAATTGTTTGAGCTGCTTGCAATGTCAGGATTGCTCATGGACTACAATTGGACAGAGATTCTAAAAAGAAAGGAAACTCTTAGGTAACATCGTCTGTCACAAATCTCTTATTCCACGCATATTGTTCTGCTGGTATATTATACAATATTTGACAATTGACACAGAGAAGTTTTTGCTGGATTTGATGCTAATACTGTTGCCAAAATGGAGGAAAAGGAAATCATGGAAATTGCATCAAACAAAGCACTTTCTTTAGCCGATAGCAGAGTCATGTGCATAGTAGATAATGCCAAATGCATAACAAAGGCAAGTACAAACAAGTGACACAAATTTTCAATATTTTCAATATCATGGTAGCTAACTCAGTTGTGTTGTTGTTGTTGTTGTTATTTATGACAGATTGTTAAAGAATGCGGATCATTCAGTAGTTACATATGGGGTTACGTGAATCATAAGCCAATAATAAACAGATACAAATACCCAAGAAATGTGCCATTGAGGAGTCCAAAAGCAGAGATCCTTAGCAAGGACTTGGTAAAACGTGGATTTCGGTTTGTGGGTCCTGTGATTGTGCACTCTTTTATGCAAGCTGCAGGATTGACCATTGATCATCTTGTGGATTGTTATAGGCATAGTGAATGTGTAAGCCTTGCAGAAAGACCTTGGAGGCATATCTAACTTACAAGCACACCCTCATTCAGAATCCACCATCTCATTTGATATTCACGTATCATGTCATTGAGATTCATTGATTTTTTTTTTTTTTTTTTTATAAATGTGCAGTGATTCTGAACCATGTAATGATTCTCTTAATTTTTCACATGTCAACCAAATAAGGACATGAATGATTTATAGTTTACTTACTTGTAGGAGCACTCTGTCTCTCTATAACCCCTCCATGATTTACTATAATTTTTTAATATGCTTTAGATTTTTTGAAATTTCATAAGTTTTCTGAGACAAGTGCTAACTGACATTTTCAGTCACTATTAAAAAGTCACCCCATAACTCTTGTAACTATCTTAGATGTATCAGATTTTTATACTTTCACGAACATATACTTTTGATTTCATTACACGTACTTTTTAAAATTAAATAATTTTAATCCCATTATTAATGACATCTGATTACTAAAAAATAATGTATATTAGTTAGTGATAATAATGTTAATTTATTCATTTCCGATATTATCAGTTTATTAATATTTAGTAACAAAATTTGATATATTAATGAAATAGAAGTTTATATTTTTTAAAGGTTGAAAAACTAAATAAATATATAATTTATATATTTTATAAAATTTAATATCCATATATATATATATATATATATATATATATATATATATATATATATATATATATATATATATATATATATATATATATATATATATATATGTCAACGAACTCTACATTGTCTTCTCCGCCTTCGTACTTCCCTTGTCTCTATTTTGCTCTTTTCAATCTTCCACGTGCACATCATTTCTTCATCCTTTCTCCTTCTCGATCTTTCACATTCACACATTTTCTTCCTTCATTTCCTCACAATGCCTTCCCCCGCCATCAATTCCACCACGCTCTCCTTCTCAGCCGCCGTCGCCGCCCGCCGCCTCCCATTCTCTGCGGTGATCTAGGACCCCCGTCGACGGAGTCCGTCCTTCTTGGTGAATTTCAAGATCAGGGAGATCTTCATGCCCGCCCTCAGCTCCACTATGACGGAGGGCAAAATCGTCTCGTTGGTCAAGTCCGAGGGCGATGTCCTCTCCAAAGGCGACAGCGTCGTTGTCGTTGAGTCCGACAAGGCCCACATTGACATCGAGACATTCTACGACGGCATCCTCGCTGCCATTGTCGTCGCTGAGGGCCAGTCCGCCCCTGTCGGCGCCCCCATCGGTCTCCTCGCCGAAACCGAGGCCGAAGTCGCCGAGGCTAAGGCCAAGGCCAATTCCACACCCACTCTCCGGTGACGGAGGTCTCCGAAGCGCCGGGGAAGGTCGTGGCGACTCCCTCCGCGAAGAAACTGGCGAAGCCGCACAAAATCAATATAGGTTCTGTTGTCGGGACTGGCCCGAATGGAAGGATTACTTCTGCTGACGTGGAGAAGGAATGCCGGAGTTACGCCGGTGGTGAGCAATGTGGCTCCGGCGGAAGTGGCTTCGTCTCCGCCAAAAGATGCTGCTACTTCTCTGGCGGCTCCGGCCACCGCGTCGGCTGTGATTCCGGGTTCTAGTGGTGTGGCCTTCACGACTATGCAATCTGCGGTTGCGAAGAACATGGCGGAGAGTCTCTCTGTGCCAACGTTCCGTGTTGGGTACCCAGTGACCACTGATGCACTTGACGCTTTGTATGAGAAGGTATGCTTTTTAAGAGTCAGTTTTTGAAAAAAAATTATAAGGAAACTAAGCTCTTAATTCAAAGAAATAAGAAATTGTAATTCCATCAATGGTTGTCGTATATGATGATACAACATTTATGTTGTAGACTTTTGTGGTAACCACTGCAAAAGTCATCTTTAATTTGCTGCAAGTGGCAGTGGATAAAAACTAGACTTGTTTGCATACCAGCATGCTTGGTTTGGTATTCCACAAAGATGATCCACGTCTGTTTAGAAGTAACATGGGTTAGCTTATATGGTTTTTCAAAATTTTGACGAGAAAAATTTCGGTATATGCACATTAAGGTCGTGCAGCCAGATAATTTGATTCATTTTGTTGTCTTAATTGTTTATATTTTGTTCTCCTTTAAATGCCTTTTTAGAAGTTCATTTAAGTGAAGTGTTTTTTCAGTTTTAGTTAAATTACAGTTGCAGTTGATGTTGCGTTGTGATTACTGAAATTTTTCGTCATCGTGCGCATGATGATGCAGTTGGTATTGCAACGTGATTACTGAAATTTTACGATAGTTCGGGCCCATAAAACAGTATTGTCACTGTAATAACGATTGTAAAGCAGGAGAATCACAATCCTCTCTTTGACCAATCCATTTCTCAACCTTCGTCGTGTTGTTAATTTGTATCCACCGTATTTTCATCTTAATAGATACAATAAATTTTACTTTTTTTGGTTTTGCGTTTATGCTATTGTTATATATAATATGAGACCTCCCACCTAGAACTCTGGTAATATCCTTGAGAGCTCGTGACCATATAAACTACGATTTTTAGGGTTAAAACCTTATAAAAAAATTTAGAAAATTAATTAAGTTACATTAGAAAGTGGTGAAAGGGTTAGACAGTATTTTTGAAATGATGATATCTGAGGTTATAAAATTTCGATTGAGGTTATTAAAAAATGAGGTGAAAATTCTCTTTTTGAATTTCAATTTAGGTTCAAGAAACACTCAATTTAGACAAGTAGAACGAAAGTTATAACCACGAAATAAATCTAGATAGAATTGAGATTTTTGGATTTTAGTGAACAAAGGATAAGAGGTGAATATGAAAGGTCAAAGGAAATAATCATTCTTCTCAAGGAGACAACTTACAAATGATGTAAAAGTCCTTTGATACAGCAAAGGGTTCTTGAATCGTTCAAGAACTCAGGAGAATCACTCTCACTAAGATAAAAGAGATAAACTTTAATATCTCTGAATAAAACTTAAGTTGTTATTGCTAATAAAAAATGATTTAGCTTATATAGAAACTTTGTCATCCAAGTTACAAAGACTCAATAAAGGAAAATAAATATTAATAATGATCTATTAATCTAGGAATTAAAAACTACTTAATGGAGACAAATAAACGTCACTAATGATCTATTAACCTATAAATTCAAAACTACTTAATGGTTGATTGTAACTGAAATTGTGACAATAAAAAATCAATCAATTATGCTCCCTCTTGGTCTCTCAAAGACTGATACCTAAGTTTCCAATTGGGTCATTATTACAACTTGTAACAAAACCAAATTAAAGTCTATTAATTGATTAACCCAAAACATAATTGGTCAGCCAATTTTACAAAGCATTGGGTTATTATTTAAACAAACTTAAAGACTGAAACAAAGTGATGCATTATTCTTCCTCCATTTGAGTTATGATGCAATTCACAACTTTGATATTTTCTCTTTGAAATGTAGGCTTATATTCAAATAATATAAATAACACTTGTTGGAGAGCTTACTTTGTTTTTCTTACTCTAGCTCTTGTCATAGGTCCTCCAAGTCCTTCAAGTGGATCATTGCCCTTGCTCATGGTCATGTCTCCATCATTCTCTCCCTCTTGAGAAGGATTTGTCTTCAAATTGGATTTGTCATCTACATAAAAAAAAGATAAGGTAGACACATTAAATGTAGAACTAACATTATACTCACTTTTTATGGCTAAATAATTCTCCCTTATTTCAAATGTTTCACTTTTTTTACTCTCAAGTGTTTCACTAACGATTTCTTTTTCTCTCTTCTCTTGAAGAAGTTTTTTTGTCATTTTTTTATCCTCACACACTTCTTGTAAACTTAATGGTTTGAGCACAATCTTCTTGTCTTGGTGCATGAAAGAGATCTTATTGGTGAACCTGTTATGATTGATTCTTTTATCAAATTGTCACGGTCTCCCCAAAAGTAAGTGGTTAACCTTAGTAAAAATAACATCACAAAGCACTTTATCATTGTATTTTCCAATGGAAATATCCACTTTAGCTTGTTGTCTCACTTGCACCTTTTCATCCTTACTAAGTCATTGAAGTTTATAAGGCCTAGAATGTGATTTAGTAGCTAAATTTAGCTTTGACATTAGTTTAGCACTAGCCACATTGGTGTAACTACCTCCATCTATGATCATCATACACACATTGCCAATGATTAAACATCTAGTGTGAAAGATGTTTTTTCGTTGACCTTCTTCCATAGGCTTCAATTGGCTATCAAGTAATGCTTAATTATCAATAAATCTCCCTTTAGAGTCTCCTTCTCAATGTCTTCACTCTCCTCTCCCTCTTCAACCTCAAATTCACTTATATATTCTCCCTCTCTAAAAACCATGGACCTTTTGTTAGGGCACTCATAAGCATAGTGTCCTAGGCCATGACACTTGAAACACTTCACATCTCTACTTTTTTTAGAGGGTTGTTCTTGAGACTTTAAAGGAATAGATGTGGAACTACTAGAAGTAGCATCCCCATCATTCTTGTCGCTGTCCTTCCAACTTGAATATTCAAAGTTGGTAGAACTCTTCTTGGCCACTCCTTTTCTTTTGAGTTGTTGTTACACTCGAATTGCTTTATGAAGCAAATCCTCCATATCAACAAATTCCTGCAACTCAACAATATCACGTATATCAATATTCAAACCACCAATAAATTGGGCATTCAAACCACCAATAAATTGGGTCATAGTTACCTCTTCATCTTCTTCAATCTTTGCTTGAATCATGAGCATGCTCATTTCCTTGAAATACTCCTCAACCCCCTTTGGAGTTTGAATTTCAAGTCCCTTGAGTAACTAGTCAACACATACCGCTTCCTCATGATCATTTTCATCTCAGTCCATGTATCAACCATTGATTCTTCATTTCTAACTCTCTCCTTTTGTAGCTTGTTCCACCAAATAAGAGCATAGTCAGAAAATTTTGTGGCTGCAAGGCTCGCCTTTTAATGATCCCAACCAACATACATTTAGTCTCTTTTACATATATCCTAGTGAGAACTCTTCCTCTATCTTAGTCTCACCTATCTTCTTCAGTGATAATTATCATTCTTGGTCTCGTTCATTTTGCATGACTCTAACCTCTAAAAACAAGATTGGATTTTTCATTGGTGTTATTTTCATTCCAATTGTTCATAATACCACATATTTTTCATGGGAGTGCTGCAACACCTTGATAATGTCCATGGCACATAAATTTTGTTTCTCTTTCAATTACACAAAGCATTATTTATCTGGATCGTGTAGTTGATGTTTGGAACTTACGAGAATATTTTTCTCAATCTTGCGTATTGCAAAATTCCAAGAGAAAATTTATGCCATGAAACAAGGTTTTCTCACTGTCACAAACTTCTTTACTACTTTGAAGGTCTTGGGAATAACTTGACAAATTTCGTCCTCTCACACCATGTAGTTCTCAAGCACGTCTTTGTCATCAAGTTTCTCAAGGGTCTTGATGAAAAATCTTCTATTGTTCATTCTCAAATCTTGTTTGTTGGGATCGAGCGCAACTCATTTTTAATGTTCATTCTCAAATCTTGCTTATTGGAATCGAGCACAACTCTTTTACTTAAGAGTAAAAGTCCAAGCACCACGATTCGATTGTGACTCGGTCCACCTGGTTTTCGTTACGGGACAATTGTGCACCAGGAATTGAACTCATGACCTTGACTCTGATACTAGTTGTTAGGATCGAGCGCTTACCACAAGGCCAAAAGTTATAATCATTAGTCAGAGCGCAACTTTTTTTACTTAAGAGTAACAACCCAAATGTCACGATTCGATTGTGACTCGGCTCACCCAGCATCCGCCATGAGACAATTGATGCTACCTGCAACATTGCTTATAGATCTTTTGCCCTTTGTTAATAGGGTTTTTTTTTCATGATCATTCAAAATGAATCACAACATGTTGTTATTATTTTTTCTCTTGATGTATAAACTGAGTTTTTCAACCATATCAATTCTAAGAAACTATTTTCTACTAACGTCCTCTTGATGTATAATTTTGGGCAGTATAAATATAATCTTTTTAATTTCAATCATATCAAAATTGATACGATAATTAGACTAAAACTTTTGATCTATTTTAAAATATATATTAAACTAGGTCATTACTTGTTTTTTACTTATTCCATAAAACCTGATTAGGCTAAACTAAATCACCCATTTTCACTACTTTAATACTAAGAATAATATTTTATTTTTTAATAATTTAATTATGAAAATACCATTTCTACTTAATATAATATTATTTCATTATTATATGATAGTATTAATAAATAAAGACTCGATGAATTAATATATTAATTAAACATTTTACACCGAAATTATTAAAACAATTCATATGGAAACTATCTAGTTATTTTAATTAATATTTTTAAAACCAGAACGATTTAGTGAATAATATTTTTAAATCTGCTCAATCATATTTAGGAATTATAATAAATATATAATAAATTATTAGTAATAATATTTTTTTATAATAAAAATAAAAATTATTATAATTATAATTATAAATATAAAATATATTAGAAAATAAAAATAAATAATTATTCAAAATAAAATAAAAAATAATAAAACAAATATTAATTAATATGAAATAAGAAAATTAAAATATATTATATATTTTATTAAAGATATACATTAATTAAAAATTGATTTAAATATATATTTTTTTAATCAACGGTGGACCCAAAAATTGAGTGGATTTTTCTAATTTTACAAGTTTTATCTCAATTTTTTGATTTTATTCTAATCTAATTATTTTAAAATAATGGATTGATTTCTTCTCCAATTTTCGATTCAATCGACCGGTCGATCTATTTTCAAAACAGTAATTTTGACCTATAATAATTATTGCACCACAATCAGAATAATATTCATCCAATGAATTAGAAAAAATCGTCAAATAATAAAAAAACATTACAGTAAATAAAATGACCAAACATCATAAAATATTAACATAAAATAATTACAGTATGTAAAATTCTTAAAAGAAAATATTTGTCCACAACGCAAACCCCTAAAAAGCAAAGAAAATTTACATATATCAATATATTTTTCTTAATATTTGCTCTTAAAAATATTTTTTTATGTTAAAAACTATGAGGGAGATTTTTTTTTATTACAAAATGTTAGTAATAGGAAAAAACGCATCACTCTTGTTGGGGAGTTTCATTCAGATCCAAACCGAAATTCCCAATGCCCCTTCTTTCTTTCACCTCATGCACAATCTGCTCCTCCAGCGACTCCGCCCACCGTCCCCCGGACGCTTCGCCGTTCCTGAGGTACGTCACCGCCGTCTTCATGCGGCGGACTATGGCGGAGAATTCCTCGACCTCTTGGTCTGTCACGTCGCGCGCCTGCTTCTTGGCCTGGCTGTCCGAAACGGCGTCGTTGGGTGCGTGCTTTCTTTTCTCACCATCATTTGACATTCTAGGAAAAACTCCGCGCTTTAGTGTGAGACATCGGTCCAGTGTCTGTCCTTAAATCAGTTGGAGGAGATGGACAGAGGTGTTTGATGTCGGTAAATTAGGAATATAACTTTATAAATATCAAAATATTTATTTTTTTTTAACAAATAAAAAACCTTATAATTATAATGATTTTTGAAGTTATTTTATCATTAAAATATATTCTAAAAAATTGATAATAATTAAGGGATTTTTATTATTAGGAATTAATTTAATTTTTTTAAATATTTAAAAATATCTCATCCTTTTTATTTATACGAATTAAAATAAACGTGTTTTTTAAGAAGCAGAATAGTAGTTTATTTTTAAAATTTTAAAGTTACCGTCTTTTATTTCTCCAATCACAACGCAACAAGTGTGTGGTCAACCCTGTTTTGAACGCGGCAATGCCACGTGATAGGCGGTGCCATGCAGTTGCATAAGATAATGGTGTTCAAATCCGAATCCGATTAACGTTGTCATGCATTGCACTCATCCCGAAACCAGAGAGAAATTAACAGCAAAAGAAGCTATATAAAAAAAATAGAATTGGTTGTTTTTTATTTTTTCCTTTTCCTGATATTCAATTTAGCAGGAAGAAAAACTCTGAATATATATGATGAAATAAAAATTAATAAGAAAATAAATTATAATTAAAAAATATAAAAGTATAAAATATTATATATAATATTTTGTTGAATCGATAAGAAATATATTTAAACACATATTATTAATATAAATAACAATATATAAATATATGATCCAATGTTACTCTAAAAAAAATAATATGACACCATCAATTTATTAGCTTGTATATCACTATAAACTTCTATAAAATTATAACTAAAATTGACATACACAGATTTTTTATAATATTTATTGGTGTCTCTTGTGCTGTATGAATGATAATAATAGACTTGTGTTAAGTGGTGGAACCAATAAATAATTTCAAGCGAAAACTTTATGTGATAATCATGTTATGGTATTTTTTTTTTTTTTGTGATTTGAGTATAAAAATATTTTGTATTTTTATCATATTTATAGTTATAATCAAATAAATGATATTATAATTACGATGTAGTTTAGGTGATGATTATATAAATAATAAATATTTTGAGTTATATATAAAAATATGTAGCATGAAGCATTTTATTTGATGATAAAATTAAACGAGGTTGTTATTTCTATGATGATATTGGAAAATTTTGGGTGTATCCTAGAGAAGTTTCTTACATAAAAGGTTATAAGTTATATTACCGTATTTTAATTTAAAAAAGTCTAATTAGATGGGAACCAAATATTTCATTAGTTATGTTTAAAAAATTATAAATAATACATTTTAATTATTTTTATTTTATTTTATAAAAAACTACTATCTTAGCAAATTTATAAAACCTGCGAGATCTATTTAGAATTTGAGATTTGACAAGGATTTTATAACAGTCCAAAACTAAAAATATCATATATATATATATATATATATATATATATATATATATATATAATTAAGATGTATAGAATAATTTAAAATATAATTTTTTTATAGGAAAATATGTACATACATATTTATTATCTCAAAAATAAACAAAATACAAATTTATACTACTCTTAGCTCTAGATCTACTTTGATTGAAGTTAAAATTTGTTTCCATGTAAAACATGATAATCACAATTAGAAATACAGACAAAAATAATTGTTAAGCTAATAATTCAATTTAAGTATTCAAAATTCAAATGTGAGATAAAATAATATAATGCAACTTCACGTTTTCATATATCACATCATATGTCTATACAAATTCACATTCACGTTACATAAACATTAGACAACTTCCGGAAGACTAAATATTGAAAAGCACATCATCTGCACCTATCACACCACAATTCTTCGAAGTGCATAACATAATGTACGTAGTTTGGTATATATACTCACGTATAACCACTGTAAATTCATAAATGACTAATTAAGACATAGTTCTTACACCGCAGACTAAGTCTTTATAAACTTCCTTCAACTCCCACCACATGGTCCTTTCATCTATGTGATTCCATTGAGCAATAGAGAGTCAAGATATCTTTTTGAGTACCAAATTAATATCTATACATAACACGCTACACACATGACAGAATACCCCTTACTGATTTTCATATCACAACACAATATCTTTCAAGACACGTAATAACATTCAACCCACCTCATTTCGTATTCATAACATGTATTTTAATATCTTAAGGCACATATACATCATTTCTCACATTATAACAAAATATATATTTTTTTAAAATTTGACTTCTACCTATTCTTTTGACCATAACTTTTTTCCATAGACATCATTTCTAACTAATTTTTATTTTATTGAATTCCTTTTTTATGGGGCTTTATTTTACATATATTGAAAATTAAATTTGGAGTTCAGAGCTATTTATGATTCTTTTGAAAACTGTTAAGCAAATTTTAAATCTGTTGACCGAAATTTTGATAAAATGAAATATCAGACACTGTCCAAAATTTGTTGGACGAATATGAAAGCGTTAAGTGAATTTCAAGCGCTTTAAACACTATCTTATATTCACTCAGCAAATTTAAATCTGTTGGGCGAATTCGTGACAATAACAGACTCCATAATTTGCTCAATACCTTATTTTTAATGTTTTAAATCAAATTAATTTTAAACTTGACCCTCCATATTGTAAATCAATTCACTAAATTCAATCTAAAAACAATATTTTCATACAAAAAACTATTTTTCTGAATCTCGTATTAATCACTTATACATTCACATTTAATACAATCATCACAAATGAAGATATATATATATATATATATATATATATATATATATATATATATATATATATATAATCACACAATCCAAATTCTTTAAACTGAAACAATGTGACCAATTCACCTTCACAATTCAGATCTTCTAGTCTAGAGTACTATGAAAATTGAAGAATAACTAACTTCTCTTACCTCAATACAAATATTTTAAGTTAAAAAACCTCAAAAACTCTAAATTTTCAGGAAAATGAATTTTGCTCACCAAAAATTTAAATTAACAAATTGAGCACATCACATTGCTCATAAACTAGTAAAGATACTTTTTTTCACAACAAAGTTTATGCAAATCCACCAAGACCCACATGCAGACCTAAATCTAAAATATGTAAAAATGGTCTAAAATTTGAAAAGATGAAACTTATTGTTGTACAAAGTGTGTGGGTATCCTCTAAAGTCCCACATCAGGTAGTTTGAAGAAGAGAGTGGTAGACTATTACTATAAACAAGAGATGATAGTTTGAGTCTACTCACCACAATAACACTAGTCTTTGGGTGTATTGGAAACTTGGGTAGTTGTGTGTCAAGAGAGGGTTTGCAATTTTTTCCGTGCAAAAATTGTATGAAAGAGTTTACACTTTTGTCCTTATAAAAATTGTAAGTTAAGAAATGAATAGTTGTTGAGTGTGTAAGTGGATGTAAGCAGGAAGTGTCAAACCACGTTAATTTTTGTATTTATTTTTCTATTTTTGTTTCTCTTATGTGTGTTAATTTTTGTGTTTATTTTTCTATTTTTGTTTTTCTTGTGTGTGTGTGCTTTCGCAGGTGAAGATTTCTTTTTCCCTCTATCAGAGCTATTGGTGAGGTGTGAGATTCTTAATTTTTAGTATGCTATATGGTTGCAGCATTGTCTAATATTCCAAGAATTGAGATTTCCTCCAAGGGAGGAAGAGAAGTAGTGTGTCAGGGAGGAAGATAAGTAGTAAGTGGGTCAGAGCAGTGCGATGTTATAACTACGATGAAGTTGGATGTTCCTTTGTTTGATGAGAGAATATACTTCTTCGTTATGACTACGATATAGTTAGATGTTCCTTTGTTTGATGAGAGAATATACTTCTTCTTATGGCAATGCACAATCCAGGATTATTTAGTCCAGCAGAGTCTCAATTGTACCTTAGAAGAAGAAAAGCCAAGTGAGATGAAAGATTCAGAATGGTATATAATCCAGAAAAAGGCAGTGAACAATTCGATTGGCACTAGCTCCACAAATCAAAGTGACTGTATTGAAAGAAACTTCTCCAAGGAAGTTGTGGGATTTATTGAAAAACAAGTTTGCATCAACGATGTTGACCAATCAATTGATGATGAAAATGGATCTGTACTCGCTGAAGATGGAAGATGAAGGTAATGTGTTTGATCATATTAATAAGTTTAATGAGATGGTATCTAGATTGATGAATGCAGGGGAGACTATCAAAGATGAAAAACAAACATTGTTGTTGTTGGCTTCTCTACCCAAATCTTATAAATCACTAGTGGAATCATTGCTAGCTGGGAAGAGTACATTGCTACTAGATGAGGTGATAAAGACGTTGAAGGAGAGTCAACAAATGATGGATGGTGATAAATCCTCTGAAGACAGTCAGATATTGCTAGCTAAAAGCGAGGGAGGAAAGAAGAAATATGGTGATCAACATGATAGAAGATTTCAGCCGAGAGATATGAGTACTGTTCAGTGTCATTATTGTGGAGAGTTTGGTCACGTTCAAGTCAAATGTCCAGAATTCAAGGAGGACTTGAAATGCATGAAGGAAAAGAAAAGTATTTCTTTTGTAAGTGTGGTCTGTCATGATGATGAATTAATGTGAAACTTTGGATGAATGGAGGATACCAAAGTGTGTGGGTATCTTCCAAAATCCCACATCAGTTAGTTTGAAAAAGGGAGTGATAAATTATTACTATAAATAAGGGATGATAGTTTGGGTCTACTCACCACAACAACATTAGTCTTTGGGTGTATTAGGGACTTGGGTAGTTGTGTGTCAAGAAAGGATTTGCAATTTTTTCCGTGCAAATATTGTATGAGAGAGTTTGCAATTTTGTCCTTGTAAAAATTGTAAGATAAGAAATGAAGAGTTGTTGAGTGTGTTAAGATGTAGGCAATAAGTGTTAAACCACGTTAATTTCTGTGTTTGTTTGTTTA